GTTACAGAACCTTTCTATACATCCCTCCCCTAGTTTCTTTCCTTGATCAAAGATACTTGTCTACACAGAGTAAGACCCCTAGTTAATGCGAGCAGTTAAGAGCTTGTCTGCTAACTAAAAGGTTGCAGATTTGAGTCCATCAGAGGGTCCTTAGAAAAAAAAGGCCTGGTTATGCCTTCTGAAAAGTCAGCCATTGAAAACCCCATGGAGCACAGTTTCACTCTGACCCACAAGTCAGAAACAACTTGATGGCAACTTTTCCTTTTGACCTAGTGTAATGTGTAACCAACAGAAGCCACTTGGGTCCCTAAAGAACCTCCTGATCTCTTGCCTTCACGTTGCCTACTCGTGAGTCCCCAGTACCACACCCTTCCCATGCACATGCACTCTGATAGGTGAGGGCAAACTCTGTTCTTAAGAAGAAATCTAAGCACCTTGTAATGTCTCTGAAGTTTGCATACCAGGCATGTCAGTGTATGACTGGCAGCCTCCCTGCCTTGGGGGCATCTGATGGAATCTTGGACTGGAGCTCAGATGAACACAGAGCACTGAATTGGCTCACGGAGCCAGAAAGGTACCTTAGATCGGACATGTCTTCTCCATCCTTATCCCTGCCCACCCTGCAGAATTGGGTTCTCACGACCAAGTGGCATGCCTGGGTGGGGTGTGCTGGCTTCAGAGGGCACGGTGTGATCAGGGAGACACCCTATGTGAGCACTTGAAATGTGAAGTCCTGTGTCAACTGAGTGTACTGCCCCTCCCTAACAAACTTGCACACACACACAGCTTCACTGGACCAGGAGCGCTCACTGTCCATGCAAAACAAGGGTGTGTTAGGATCCATTTCAGAAAATCAAACCAAACCCTACCCATCTAGCCCACTTCATGGTAACCTCATGTGCTACAGAGTAAAACCTCCCTCCAAGGTTTTATTGGCTGGAATCTTTACAGAAGCAAATCACCAGGTCTTTGTCCCACAGAGTCACTGGGTAGGTCTGAACCGTCAACCTTTAGTTTAATCGTTGTTGTTGTGTGCCATGGAGTCAATTCCAACTCAGTGACCCCATGTGACAAAGTGCCCATAAGGTTTTCTTGGCTGTAATCTTTATGGAAGCAGATTGCCAGGTCTTTCTCCTACAAACCTGGGCAGGGGGTGGGGGTGGGGTTCAATCCACCAAGCTTTCAAGGAGTGATGTCTGCGTTACCCAGGGCTCCTGTAGGATAGTGTTCAAGCACTAACTGTTCATGCCACTCAGGGACCTTGGATCCTCTCTGGGATCTGTTAATTACTCCTTCCTTATCTAAACCTGCAATGGGGGTATGCCTTCCCTTCCTGCCTCTCCCTTCGATCAAGCAATCCCGCATATGCACTCACCTTGGAAAACTCACCCTCCTGTGTGCCCTCCAAGCCTTGCGCAGGCATTTCTGCTATAACACAGTACACGTGATACCAAAAACCTCACAGTAGGCCGGCTCACGGGTAAAGATAATAGGACTTAAGGGGAAAATAGGGCTAGAGCAGACCATTCAGATTCTGTGCAGCTTTATAATCTGAATGCCACAAAAACATGTAGTCCTAAGAAAAACAGTTGTCTAGGTAAGTCTCCATGGGCACCCGGTGTCTCAGCAGTGTAGGGATTCATGATCTCTCTGTTACACAAGAGCCTTAGGCTTGTCACTCCCAGTGCAGAGCAGTTCCATCAAAATTTAAAATCTGGTTTAAGCTGTAGTCATGTGACTCAGGTCACCGTGAGCTGGAGCTGACTCGACAGCAACTAACAGCAACAACATATATGAATGTCTTTAAGGTTCTTCAATTGTCCTTGACCCCACTAGTTAACTTGCGAAAGCAAAGTGCTTCTTGAACCCTCTCAACCAGCCCTATAGCACATCTGCAAGATTTTCAGCTTTATTCTTCAATGTCTTCATGTGTTGCCAAGACATTGCTCTTTAGAGAATGCTTCCCCTTGAGCACCTCAAACAATTATATTAACACGCTGATAAGCATGATCCATGAACACATACAACTTCTATGTTGTGTGTATAATAGGGCATATGAGTTCATTCACGTTACAGGAGCATGTAGTGAGGCTGAGCACACTGGCCACTTTGCACAATCGGAGACAGTGTTTTCCTGTTTTATGACCTAACAGACTTGTGGGCATGTGTTTAATGGTTCTTATTGTTGTTGTTAGGTTCCGTCGAGTCGTCTCCAACTCATAGTGACCCTATGCACAGCAGAATGAGACACTGCCCAGTCCTGTGCCAGCCTCACATCTTTGCTATACCTGAGCCCATCACTGCAGCCACTGTATCAATCCATCTCATTGAGGGCCTTCCCCTTCTTCATTGACCCTCCCCTTTACCAAGCATAATATCCTTCTCCAGAGAACGGTTCCTTCTGACGATATGACCAAAGTAGGTGAGACGAAATCTGGCCATTCTCACTCCAAGGAGCATTCTGGCTGCACTTCATCCAGGACAGATTTGGTAGTCCTTTTAGCAGACCATGGTACTCTTAGCATTCTTTGCCAGCACCACAACTCAAAAGCATCAACTCTTCTTCAGTCTTCCTTATTCACTGTCCAGCTCTCACATGCATAAGAGGTGACGGCTTGAGTCAGGCACACCTTAGTCTTCAAGGAGACATCCTAGCTCCTCATCATTTGAAAGAGGTTCTTTGTAGCAAATTTGCCCAATGCAACATGTTGTCTGATGTCTTGACTACTGCTTCCATTGGTGTTGATTATAGAACCAAGTAATAAGAAATCCTTGACAACTTCACCCTTTTCTCTATCCACCATGGAGTTGTTTATTGGACCAGTTTAATGGTTATAGCAGTGAGAATTAGGTTCAGCTGCAAGTAACAGAAAACAAGATAGGAAGAATTTTTTTTTTTTTTTTCATATTAAGTCCAAAGCAGGCATTCCAGGGCTGTTATAGCACTCCATAGGGTGAGGAAGCCAAACTCCTTCTATCTTGTTGCTCTGTTCTGCATGGCTTCCATTTCATGGTTCAAGCTGGTAGCATACATTCCGGGCAGTGGGATGGAGAAAGAGATGGAGAGAGCAAGGTTCCTGGAAGCTGCCACACACATGATACTTTCACATTCATTACATCAGACAGAACTTTGTCATATGTCTGTACCAACTACAGCAATGGGGAAATGGAGTCGTTATTTTGGGCAGTCACAGGTTCTGCCCAAAATTCTATTACTCTAGAAGAGGAACTGATCAAGGGGACATGAGGATGGTGAGGGGGTGCCACTATCAATCTCTGCAATAGAGGCTGTGGGAAAACTTAAAATTCTAGGACATCCTAGGTAGAGATGAGACCATCAGTGTCCTGAAGGCCTGATATCATTGTCTGTCCACAGAACAGCCCAGGGATTTGTAGCTTGCTTTGTGGTGCTAACCCAACATTTTATATCCTGGTAATGCCACCAGACCTCCCTAAAAATTTCCTATATAAAACATTTTTTAAAAAATATTCTGAACAATTTCATGTTCAGAAAGATAATTTTTACATTGTGTTTTCTTATCACAGCAGTAATGCAGAAACTCTCAATTCCCATGCTGTCAATCATCAAGTTTTGCCAATTTTACATCCTAAATATCTCTCAAATGTATACACTTCTCTCATCTCTACCATCACACTGATCCAAGTCACCACTGTCTTTCACCTGGTCTATGGTAACAGATTTCGACTGATTTCCCTATATTGTTCTCCTGTTTCTAATCGGTTCTCCTCCCCATAGCCAGAGTGAAGTTTTAAAAACACAAATCTGATCATTATCCCAGATGCTTTATGCCTTCTTTCTGCTCCTAGAACAAGCATTGAGGTCCTTAACAAGGTCTACAAGGCCCTACCTTGAGGTCCCTGCCTACCTCACCAGTGTCTTTCTCCCGTTACTCTTCTGCTTTGCTTTGTGCTTTTCAGCCACATTGACCTTGACATTCTTCAACAGCACCATACTCTTTTTCAGCCCGGGACCTTTGCATATACTGCTCCCTCTGTCTGGAAGGCTCTCTCAACTATCTTGTTCCCATCTTGCCTACTTAAGCTCTATTCATTGTAATACTGTAAACTTGAAGACTGTTTCTGAATAAAACAGAGAGAATAATGGTTCAAGATCAGCCTGAGCTGGGAGCCCATGAATATGAAAACATGCAGTGCACCCACTCACATTTTTATAGGAGTTAGACAAAGAACAGGGTCTACATATTTCTGATTGGTTTCCAGGCAGTCAGATAAGTTAGAAGTGACAGTTCTTGAAACAGGAGCTTAGCTAGGGCTGGTGGATAACATATATATGGGATTACATGATTGGTTAAAGGGTACTTAATTGCAAGAACATGTGCTTTTCAGATGATTATATAATGGTCACAGAACTTGCCTTTCTGAGAACATGTTATTAACACTGCTTTCTCAAGCATGTTTTTTTGGTTTGGTTGTTTGTTTCCTGGAAACATTTTCCCTCTCCTGTTTAATTCTTTGTCAGTAGAAGGCAAGGACCTCCTGCTCACGGTCACAGGGACCCCAGTAACATACCCATTGACGTTCAGAAAACCAAAAAACAATGTCTACCTGCAGTGGGGGAGCCCAGGCCACTCACCTCACATCTACCTGAGGAGAGGGGCCCGGAGGGAGGATCCTGGGCTAGGGGCAGGCCCCGCCCCAAACCAGTGGGCCATTCTCCACAGTCCAAGGCCTGCATGGGGCCCCCAGATCCCTTAAGCCGAAAGGATACTGGACGGACCCAGGGCGGAGAACGGAGAGGAACTAGGTAGAGGCAGTCAGTCTCTCAGCCATCAGGCCCATTCGTGACTGTCCTTGTCCTGCCCAGATCGCCCAGGTCTCCTCGGAGCCCACAGGCTGTGGCTTGTCCTAAAGGGGGCCTGAATTCCAGGCTCCGACAGGTGTGGGTGGTGGTGATGGGCGCTGAACTAAAGAGCGGACTTGGGGCAAGTGCCTGCCTGAGGTCAGCGGGCCGCTCGTACCGACCAAGCCGCCTCGGTGCAGCAGAGCTTTCTTCCAGGGAGCAGCTGCGCGGCCGGCATCATGGCAACCATCACCGTATCTTCTCACTCGCTCTCGCCACCCCTACCCCACGCTGCCTCCTGTGCTTTTGCGCCTCCCTGAAGGGCTAAGGCACCGGAAACTGCCTAGGAAGCAGTGCTGACGCCAGAGCTATATGCCCGAGACACCCTGGAACCAACAGGAAACTGGTTCGCGCCATCATCTCACTGAGCACGCCTGTCCAGGCCTTGTCTTCTGGGCCACCGTCGTGCCCTTCAAATGGTAAAGTCGAGGCGGGCGGGGGCTCCAAAGACACGCTGGGAATGAAGTGGAAGATCTGGGCCAAGAAGTGTGTCTCTTTATTCCACGAAATTTAGCTTACCCTGATGGATGATATGAAAACTTTTGACATTCGTTGATTGTTTGATTGCACCATTATTACTCTTTTCCTTAAGGGTTGATTTTTTTCCCCTTCAGAGGATTTTTTTTTCTTCCAAAAATTAAAATGCCTTTTCTGTAGTGGATTTTTCAAAACTCTTTGACATAATTGGAAACTTCTGGCCTTGCCTAATCATGGTTAGAAATCATTGTATGCATTAGGGCTGCAACAAAGACGAAAAAAGACACTAAGTGAAAGTTAGTGAGAGGACAATCTCCCTTGTAAATAGGGATCCACTTGACACACACTCACACACACAGTCTGTTATATCGTCATCATGCTCACAGCCTCCCACATGGAGGAGCCCTGTTCACAATTCCCAAGTTTTTTGCTGATACCAGCAACAGTGCCCAACAGTCAGTGGCCTTCCAGTAGCTGTTTAAAGGCGACTGAGGGAAAGGAATGACTAAATTAACTGGATTTGTGCCACAGCAAACAAGGAGTATGTCCTATTAAGATGAAAACAAAACTTCAGGCTTTGTGGGACTTTGCTCTGGATTTTGGCCACTTGACTTGGCATGTCTGATAGCAGCTGAACATGTGCTGAGCACGGGGGCCTGGAATGGCCTGGCCATGGAATGAATAGACTCACACCAGCAGCTGTGACTCACTTTCTCTATTCTAATAAAAGAGTCTGAGGTATTTACTGCCTTCCCAATAGCGATGAATACACAGAAAACGTCTCTAAGTCACAAAGGAAAATAAGAAACTCTCCAAAAAGTTTTTTTTTTTTTTTAATTTGGTCAAGTGTAAAATTTTTGTATTTGGGTAAACAGCCATCTCTCTAGCAGGACCTGGCTACAGGTTTTCTGGCAGGGACTGCTTCTAAGAAGCCTCTAGTGACCCAATCTGTTACCATCTTATTACCTGCTACGGTGTAGGGTCAGTGACAGCTGTTGCTTTCCCAATGTTTGTGACAGAAATAACTCTTCCAGTCAGTCACCATGAGCATGACTGGTGGAAGCTTTAGAAGCGAGGAAATATTGCAGACTGTCCTGATCAGGAAGATGCTGTCCTTGCAGTCCCCAGGCACCCTTTTCCTTGGCTAACCACTAGACAGTTAATTTAAAAGAAGAAGTGAAAGGAAAACAAACCTTTAGGCTCCTGAAAGGGTTATTTTGACTGAAACTGGCAATAAAAATGCTATTGGCTATTACCTGGCAGGACCAAAGTGCAGGCAGAACGTCTTCTCTCTCGATCTAGTGCATTTGTTATTTTGGCTTCAAGGAAGCAAACGGCACTCTGCACTTCCTGAGGAAAGATGGAGCAACAGGGGGAGTCCAAGAAGGAAGGGGTAAGTTTGCTACCCAGGGAAGAAACTGAGAGCAGCACCAGCTACCAAGGCCTGTTGAGCCTTCCTGGGGAGTCACTGGGGGGTTTGTGGCATTGTTATGGGAGCTCTGTGCTGGCAAGGACCGTTTTGGGGGTCCTGCCCCCCCCCCCCGAGTCCACTCAGCAGTGGAACTTTTACAAGGACTAGAGAAAGGTCTTAAGAAGGCCCGGTGATGCAATGGTTAAGCACACAGCTGCTAACCAAAAGGTTAGGAGTTCAAAGCCACGTAGCTGCTCTGCAGGAAAAAGACCTGGGAATCTGCTCCTGTAAAGATTACAGCCTAGAAAATCCTACAGGCAGTTCTGCTCTGTCTCATGGGTCACTGTGAGTTCAAAATCAGCTCAATGCCATCTAACAACAACAAAACGGTTTGAGTCAGATGCTCCTTGAGAATCATTGTACTGGAACATACTTCAAAAGTAGTTGTAACTGAGTTGAAGAGTCTCAAAGTGTTAATTCCTCCTAACTTCCTTAAAGTAAGAACTTGAGGTGATAGAATTTTGAAACCAAATATATTGGAAAGCAATCCTTACACATTGTGGAATATTTTCATTTTGGCTACAGAACATGTTGTGTGCTGACATTTCTTTTAACCTTTTGAGCTAGCTGCTCAGGTGAGGCTACAGGAAAAGAAGGCCCAGAAAACAGGTTGCTAGTTGCAAGAGACTCAGGATTTGAATTTAATTAAAATTTGTAACTGAGTTTCTCTGCCTCTAAGACTGGATGAGACTGCCTTTTTAGAGACAAAAGATTTTTGTGTGGACACCTCCAACCCACCCTGGATTGAAGACATTGTTGTTGTTATGAGCCACCAAGTCATCTTCGACTCATAGTGACCTCATGTACGACAGAACAAAACACTGCCCGGTCCTGTGCCAGCCTCATGATCCCTACTGTACCTGAGCCCATCGCTGCAGCCACCATGTCAATCCATCTTGTTGAGGGCCTTCCCCTTTTTCATTGACTGGATTGGGGATAATGCCTAATAAAGAAACACTATTATGAAACTATTAACCCTTTAAGGTCTCTGGATGGAGCAAATGGTTTACTTTCAGTGATTTGAACGCATTCGGTGGTGCTGTGGAAGAAAGGCCTGGCAATCTGCTCTGTAAAGATTACAACCAAGAAAAAGGCTTTGTGGCCTCTTTGGCTAAGATGAAGCATAAAACCCTATGGAGCTCAGTTCTACTCTATAACACATGGCGTCACTGTGAGTCAGAATTGACTCCCCAGCACTCAATAATGATTAAATGAAATAATGCACCTGGCACATAGGGAATCTCCCATAAATAGGACTACTTCTCTAGCATCCTTTAGAGCAAGATTTCTCAACCTTGGCACTATTAACATTTGGGCCTGGATGATTCTTTGTTGTGAAGGTTGCCCTGTATGTTACAGAGTGTTTAACAGCATCCCTGGCCTCTACTCATTAGATGCCAGTAGCATACACACACTCAGTGGTGAGAACCAAATGTCCCCTAGAAGGCAGACTCTCATCCCCCACCTCCCCATCCCCTACTCCTTCCCTTCCTTTAGTGTTTGCTTTAGTGTTTGCTAAGTGCATTCACGTGGATTATCTTCTTTGAAGCTTACAACTAAGAAAGTGTTAGACAAATGGCGTATTATCTCCTCTATTTTATAGAAAAGGAATTTAGGCACTTAGGGCTGAGGAGTTGGGTGAGGTCAAGAGAGGGCTTGTTCTTCTCTGTGCCTCCAATTCAAAGAGAAACACGCACCCCAGCCTCACACTCTGGGTGTAGCTGGGCTGCAGAGGAAAAGGAAATGTCCCCACATGGTGTTCCCTGAAAACAAAAAATACGATTTGAATGGAACTGATTAAAATGGTCACATGCAAAAGTATGGGCCATCACCAATGCTCCCTGCACCTGACTACAGAAAAGATGCCCATTGCTCACAGAGATCAGCTCCCCCTCACAACAGCCCAAAGAGCAGAGTTGCCCTCAGGAAGACAGCCAGGGCACCAGCTGGGCTTTCTGAGAGACCTCACAGCAAAACAGCCAGCGGCACTACGGTCAGGTGTTTGTGGGAATCTGGGAAATCATTAAGTGAAGCAGAGAAGAGGACAAGGAGCCAGAAGTGAGGGTGGCAAAGGCTGTGGTGAACAAGCTGCATTTTCCAAAGCTGCTGGTCTGATGGGGAGGGTGCTGAGTAGTAGGCAGGCCCAGCTTTCGGTCCCTCAGTAGCTGCCTGGCCTTGGACAGGTCTCCTGGGCTCCCTGGCCTTTGGTTTTCTCATATTTAAGGGGAAAAGACCAGGAGTTGACCAATGTGCCAGGAAAACAGGCTAATTACCAAATAGGAGAAAAAAATTTAAAAAAGATACCAAAGTCCTCTGGAAATTGAAAATGCATGTTTTTTTGTGTGTGGTGCTTCCACCACAGACTAGTTCTGTGACATTGAACAAGTACCTCTCCCTCTGGGTCCTCACTGATGTTAATTAATAATAATAGCAAATCTGGATGTAACACCTGCCACATGCCAGCATGATTCTAAGCATTTTACATACATGAGCTCACTCCTTCCTCACTGCCAATCCAACAAAGAAGGTAGAATCATTATCCCCATTTCCAAGTGAAGGAATCAAGACCCAGAGCTAGTCAGTAACTTGTCCGATGCCACAGAGCCAGCAGTACTAGAGTTGAGATTCAATCGCAAGGCTTTTGACTCCAGAGACTGGGCACTTCATCACCACACCAACAAGATGGGTGTGCAGGGCTTATTCCTTTCAGGGCACCAGTCAAACCAAAAAACAAAACTCAATGCCACGGAGTCAGTTCTGACTTAGCAACCCCCAGTGGGGTTCCAAGGCTGTAAATCTTTATGGAAGTAGATTGCCTCATCTTTCTCCTGCAGAGCAACTGGTGGGTTTGAACTGTCAACCTTATGGTTAGCAGCCAAATGCCTTAACTTGAGCTCCTTCAGGGTACCACTAGTTCTAGCCTCACATCAGTTTGTGAAACTTTGGATTCAGTAGTGTGATAAAGTGTCTTAGTTTAAAGTATTAATAATTCATGAGAATGGAGACAGTGGTGGTTCAGTGGTAGACTTGTCACCTTTCACATTGGAGGCCCAGGTTCGATTCCTGGTAACGTACCTGAAGCACAGCCACCGCTTGTCTATCAGCGGAGGCCTGCAGGTTGCTACGATGCTGAACAGGTTTTAGCAGAGCTTCCAGACTCAGGGGGCTTACAAAGAAAGGTCTGGCAGTCTGCTTCTGAAAATCAGCCAGTGAAAACCCTATGGATCACAGTGGTGTGATCC